AAATCGAAACGTTTTCCACTGAATAAATCCCCTCTCATTAATAACAATTTCTGAGCGAAGACGTGGATCTGCTGCCGAAGAAGGATCCTTTCCGGGAAGGAATAGATGATGACGAAGGATTCATTCATGAAGCATCAAAGGAAAAAGCCGTCGATACCCACACCTTGCAGAACTTGGCCGCGGTGAGTTGTTTGCATTCACTTCTCATTTCATAATTTGTAGCTGTTGTTGTAGGGAAGACGTAATATAATAAAGTGGGCCAAATCTGACTAAACATATCGGAATTTCTCGAAGCTGAGTCTAGAAGTGGAACTGCCCAATCAAATATTCATTGGGATGGTGGAAGACGTGTCTTGTATAGAGTGAAGCGACTCAAACCGCTCGCGCTCTCAGAGGGTAACAATCATTGGAGGATTTCGTGGTCGAGTGGGTGTGAAGGAATGGAATGTTATGCACACCAACACAGAAGCAGCTAAATTGTTGTCTTTCTCCTTTTTCTTCACTTTTCAAAACATTAAATGCTCTATGAACTTACCAACAGGGTTGCTTGCACAAATGCTCATCAGTACAGAACTGCGTTTTATTTTATGGATCAGGTTGTGGCTATAACCACTTGAGCAAATGCCTTTGTGGAAGCAGGGTCACAGTTGCAGCAACCCTTGAAATAATAAGAGATGGCAGTGAGATCTCAGTTTAATCGTCCAGTCGCAAAATGTTTTGTTGGGCTTCCTTACCTCTAAGAGTGACTAGTAACCAGTTTCTCTCCAATTTGAACTGTATTTGAAATCGTCCTTGATAAGATGTTTCGATTAAGGCGACTGGTCGAGTGCCTCTGGCGCAGTTAGGACTGTCAGAGAAGGAGATCTACACACTCTGTGCAAGGTTCGCGCCTATTGCTGCCAAGGTAAGAGATTCTCCACCTTATTGGCAAATACGTAGAAATATTGCAACCATTTTTTCTAGCATTGCTACCTCCCGAAAGTCGAAGAGCAGTTTTTGGAAAAGTGTCGTGGATACAATCAGGATTGTGCTCAATTTCAAGCTCAGGTGAACGCGTTCTTGAAGATTTTGGCGAATATCCTCTCATATAACTGGGGCCTCTGAAAATATGCATAGGGAAATAGTTCGAGTGGTTTTGGAGGAGCACAGGCAATTTGAAATCGTGCTCAAATAATGGATTTACACAGACACGGGCTTTCCCAAAACTGTGAAATATTAAATGCTGGGAATTTCAGGACATGCCAATCACACATTTTTTTATCTTATTAGCCTTTTTTGAATATTTTCATGTTAATATGTACACATATGGGATTAATTTGACTAAAGTGAACATTACCGCTTACGCCAATTGTAGTGCTCACACTACCCGAGCGTGGGTCACATTCGAGGGTTCGAGAGGGCGAATGCGGTCATTGCAGTTTGATGCTTCGAGACCTGTATAGAAGATTATGTTCTGCTGTGAATCACTTTTACCAGACAACCATCTAAGCGGGCGTCAAAATATTATACACATGGGAATTACGGCAACCTCAAAAACAACAAACGCCCATTTTTTGTGTCTTTTCTACCTTTCGAAGAACTCCACAATCACTGAGGGAAGAGGCTTCTTGCACCCTTCTGTCAAAATAAATCAAACTTGTAAAGTAAAGCTTTTTCAATTGACAGACTTACAAGGCTTCACTTTTACTTCTAGAGCTTCTCTTTAATCTTGAAAGGTTTGAAAAGAGGTGATGTGATGTCAAGTAGCGTACTGTCATATGCAAGGGATTGAACCTCAGACTTATACCCTCTCAGGTCGACAGAGCTTCTATCCTCATCGGACTGGAGAGGTATAATAGTAGCCGCTGACTTGTACATCGCATGAGCACCTCAAGCCGTCGAATGGATTCCAATAGGCCTTGAAATGGGAGTCGAATGAGGTGGGCTCATACTAAAGGAAGATTGCTCCAGGTCGAAGAGTCCGAACTAATTCAAAATGGACCCACTAAGTAATTATTTGACCAATGTTTGCGATGAAGACCAACCAAGTGACCAAAACGGGTGGCGGAACTTCTCCCCGATTTTCCACGTTCGATTTGCGGCGTGCGGCAAAACTTTTCTAGTTGTGTCACGGCTTCAACTGCAATTTCCTTACTCAGCCCGCCTCCCAGCCAATCGTTAGGGCACCGTTCATACTTTTTTGATTGGCTTTCACTGTTTCTTTCTATTTCTTTTTTGTTTTTATGTTCATTGGCCTGTCCGTTGACGGACTGACTCCTTCTCTATTATCGATGATCAGGACCGCATTGAGATTAAAGAAAGCGGCCAACAAGTTTAAATAATTAAAGGGCTTCCTAGCTCACAGAATGCGCGCTCCAATCTTCTATCGCATTTCTCTGATGCGCGAGGCAGTGTTCAGGGGAGAACCAAAGCTTACCTCGTCTCAATCGGATAGGTTTGCTTTCTGCATGGAGAAGGCTACAGGGCTTGGAGCGCTGCTCTTTACTTAGAAAGAGCGTTGTGTCGGATTCAAACCGAAGTTATCGTGTGCAGCAGAACATTTCTAAACGGCAGGCCTGACCGTGATTCCGTCGGCACACATGGCATAGGCATATGGAGCTATACTTCATTTTCTAGCACTCCTCGAACTAACATGAAGACGTAATTAAACATGATATACTTGAAAGATTTTCCTTACACAGAGACGAAAATAAAAAATATGTATTTGTGAGTAGCACAAAATGATTCTGTAGAAGGACTGAATCACTGTCTGAGGAAGATACGATTCATCGGTTCGACGGCATTTCACTGAACGGTAAAAGTGAAGGTAAGAACACAGTGTGGCACTAGAAAATGCATTAGTTTTGTTTGGTTGTTCTCTCTGACTGACGTACCTGGAGTGCTGATTTTGTGAAACTCAGAGTGTAGTTTATGGAAGTATAGCTAGAATTTCATTCGCTCCTTCAGGCGCGCCCACTTGGTGCAGTTGCAAACGCTTTCTCATCAGGCGTCGGACTAACCTACTATAACTGGGACGTGAATGGAATACCATACTATGCAGTGAATGAAGAAGGGTCAATCGGCAATGGACACAACGGCAAGGTTAGCCAGCTGCTACCGGAATCTTCTGCCACACAGTGTATCCTAATTCCAGGTCGACTTCGGCTCATGGGGAGGTGGCTATTCGAGCAATCTGGGTGTGCGCGACTATTACTCCCAAACACAAGAATATGGTGCTAACTGGTATGAAGGTATGTAAAGTTCGACATCTTCAAGCTTATGATCGACTTCGAGGTAATGGTATTGCAGGATTGTATGGATACAAGACTGGATGGAGTATTCCAGTTGTTCAGAGTGCGGGTGTTGAAGGAGGTGGTGGAACCCAGGTGGGCTCTGTAGCTTCTGGATATGCCCTCAAGTCATTTTGAAAGTAATGCTTCAACTGTTTAGGTTCACGTACCACTGAAAGAGGGCGAACTCGGCCGTCCAATCCAAGCCACAAGCGGCTATCATGTCGGACCGTACTTCGGCTATGCTGATCGCGTCGGCGTTGACTGGTACAACGGTGGAGTGTCATTCAACAGGGTAAGGGTAATAAGAGGTTTTCCTTTTCGTTACCTTATTCATTCACTCGATCTGCAGGGAGTGGCCAGTCCTTTTGTGGGAATTGGTGTCAATTCCGGTACCGCTGTCGGCTTTCCCTCCATTGGTACGATCATGAGTAGAGTGGGAATCAAGGATATGGACCAGCTGGCTCAAATGGTAGCAGCAGCAGGCGCTCGAACCCAACAAACCACCGCCATCGGAGGGTGACCACTGAAGCGCCCCATGGAAAATTCTTCCATTTCGAGTGCAATTTCTTCAGAGAACTACCTCTGCTTGATCTCGTGTAGGCCTACTAACTCATAGTTATTTATCGTTTGTGCCTTTAACCGTTCTGTCGAGGCTTTGACGTTCTCTAAGATCCCTTCGTTCAATCACGAAGTTGATTGTAAGCGCATGGAGCTCAACATGTGGCTCAATTCCTCTTTACATTCGGAATATATTTATTGTTTGACTATATTATAAAGGTTTCAAAACTTTAGAATTTGGATCCATCATTCCAGGTACCTTCGAGGTTTTTGAGAGCTTCAGTTTTCTGTTCGATTCCGAATCTATGCACTACGGATAATTTATACTGAGGCGAAAGCAGATCCAACTTCGAACTAGGCTTTTGTTGGTTGCTCTTCTTCCTCTTTGATGCACTCGGCGCCACCTAAGAACGAGGATGGCAGCCCATGTTATTACCGTATGGCTCTCTTCCGTAGTATTGTAACATATGGATGGCTGACGATTAAACAGATGAAGATTCTGTCATGACCAGCCGAATTCTTGCTTATTCTTAGAATCCTCGCGCTGAGCATCTCATTGAATGATGGGCATCAGCAGTTTTTCGACATCAAGAGTTTGCTTTCTCATTCACCAGAAAGCTCACCACCAGGGAGAGTTTTCATAGAAAGATTTGTGGAAGGAAATTGGATTAGAACGGTTTTTCACATTATTCTTGGAAGGAGATGGTATAATGGCAAGTGACCCACAATCACACACCCATAGTCACGGGTTCGATTCCGCACCGATATCCGCCTAGATCAGCCAAACCTTGCATCCCGCTGGGGTCAAGTAATTGGTACCAGATCATAAGAGAAGATAAAAGCACTGAGTTATACATCGGCTGGCCACCGCAAGTCATTGTATAGATCACATACGTATTTACATGCTACTACGATTCTGAATAGTCGAATGCGGGGTCCTCGAAATCCTCAGACGGGAGAAATAAATGCCCAAAGACTTTATCCTTCACTTCCCTTTGTTCTGGTTACCCCGATGAATACTTGATCGGTCGATCTCTGTAGAGCAGTAACCCTCTTTAATCCAATTACGGTACTCAGTGCTAGGTGCTGATAATCCTGTTGGAAAAGACAAGCCGATGTATGCGATTAATTAAGTTATGTGTTTGCCGAGTGGATCAGCGCCAGTCGTGGCGAGCGCCAACAGCATGGCACCAGAACTGTCGCTGAGTTGTTGCGCCACAGTCGCCTGCTGTTGTCATAACCTTAGCAGTACGTATGTCTCAAAGTAAACAGTTCAATCATTAGCGACATGCAAATGAAGTGCAATTAAATTTGCCCTGTCGGTCGAAGGTGATAGTACTGACTGAAGCTCTGAACGACTCTCCACCGCCCTTACGAGCAAAACGACAAAGCAAGTCCCGAAGTTGCCGACAACCTCCAGTCAAGGTTAACAATCAACGCACACTCAAAAGGACCAGCAACTTTTATTGGAGGCAAAACACACAGAGCCATTCTGAGAGGTGTACCCAAAGCCTGACTGCTGACGTGAGAATGAGTGACTCAGAGTGACTTTGTTCGGGGTTCACTGGCAGTTCTTGAGTAGAGTTCCATATTAGTGTTAAAGATAAATGTACTGTAGTGAAGTGGACTCATAATTCGGTTGAGGGCCTGTTTTGTACACAATAACTTCCTTTCCATTTGCAGTATACGCCTATGAGCATCAGCACCACCTCGAAGATCTCAATTTCATCGAAAATAGGTGCTCAAACGAACTGTAGTCAAGATAAGGTCAATCTGGCGTGTTGTCACCGTTAGATTGGACCTTGACTTAAGGTGGTGTGCTCAAACTTCAGGCTTCATTCAGCACTGGAGCTCGCCCTTAAGGAATCATAGCTACTAGGTGCTCTGACGGAAGCTTTTGATAAGGTGCTAACTTACTGTAACTAGCCGTCTTCGATTACTTAACCTAAGCCTTTACACGAGTTGATGAGCGTAAGAGTTCCGCAGAAAACAGTAATAGACAAATCTGGTTTTCGGCTCCTATTAGGTGTGTTGGTTCAGGTCAACCAAGTCTTCAACTTCTTCTGTTCGAAGAATTTCATCCGCGAAAACTAAAAAAGTCTGTACCAGTGAGCCCAAGTCTTTCAGTCCTTTTAGTGTGATCTCCAGCTCCACACTAAAAGCCCAAATTGAAGTAGAGCTCGTTGAGCAGTCAGCTCTGTCACAGCCGCCCAATGACCCTTCATGAGCATTCTACATACATGGATAACCGGTGTTATATGGGGTCTTCACCAACTCATCTGCACCATGCCTAAGCTCGGGTTGACCCAACCAGGTGTATGCTAATAGGAACGCAAGTTCAAGTGCCGTAATCCTTTACTAGTAATTGATTATGAATCGCCGACAAAGCGGCTCACCATTCACTGAACATCATCCCGATTCAAAGGGATCACCTGACTAGTCCTCTTCACAACAGCCCCTGCGCAATCCGCATAGGGGATCCTCTTGCAGATCTTTTCTGCACATGGGCGGGGTCCATGACTCGTGTCGGAGCACGATAATTACCGGTGTCGGATGACTGCAGATGTGCGAAATTTTGCGCACAATACGAGGCGGGACCGACGACGATTCCCTAGGAGCCGTCAGTGGTGTCTTCGCGGTGCGTCATAAAGCATGGGAGGGTGCTGCAAATTGTCATCTAAACTATTCGTTTTGCTCGTCTAATTGAACGGAAAGAAGTCTCATTAGCCGCTCCTCACAAACAAGTTCTATGAATCTCAAAAGCACGTCTCCAACATGGGTACGGTAGATAATTGGTCGATAATTGCAAGTACTAATTGGTTGCTCATCTTTAATTAGTGGAATAAGCTTTATGGGCAACTACAAGATTGTTACCAGCCGTCGATGACAGCGTTTTGCCCTTAGCCGTTTGAAGTCGTCGTGGTGCCAGCCGGAGACCTTCGCCGGGCATCAGTAACCGCTGAGAAGTTTAACGGGGGGCGCATGTAAGGTAAACTGCGTTTGAAATGAGCTCAATCTCAATCGACGTCCTCTGTGGGCTCCGCTATTGTTGGCGACCTCCTAAGGGTCAGCACTCAAAACTTCTTTGAGTAAGCAAGTTGGGCGCGTCCTGTAAGGGTCAGCTAATGACTCGACTCCGACGCCTTCTCGAATAGCAACAATGGTCATTTACTTCAAACAAACGTGCCGCTTAACTTTGTAATAGCATCATTGACACAATGTTCGGTCCCTGAATGACGCATTTCACCCACTTGATATATGGTTCATTGGCCTAATTGGGTGATGTGTGAAGAGGGCGAACTGGTTAGATCGGGTTATCCCCTTGATTTGGGGTCGTACGTCATAAAAACCAGTACATTTGGGATTGGGGTCTTTGAAGAGGTTGAGTGGCAAGGTGAATTGGATCAGGATGCAAAGGGACAGCCGAGTAACGAGATGCTGATGGCGGTGCTCATCGTCGGAGTGCCGTAAATGGCCTGTCGGGCGCCTCGGGGCAGCCGATAATTAGCCGACGGCCAACGATGTCGATTGCTCGCGACAACTGTGCATTTAACGGATTCATAATCAAATCATTACCCTGATACAATTCTTTCTTCGGCTCACTTATGAAGACCTCCCCCCACCCCCCCNCCCCCCCCCCCCCCCCCCCCCAAGCCATTTCGCCAACCCGGACAGGCATGCACGGGTAAGCAAGGGAACTGGGAGAAATTACCACAAAGATGTTAAGTCTGTTTCGTCTGTGATGACTCTTCACAGATTTCGGCAGAAATGACAGGAAGCTAATCAGATCCGATTCGTGCGTCTAAGTATGGATGGTGGTAAGCTCGCCATCTCCAGTCCAAGCCATCAAAAGGTACAAGGAAAGCAGGTCGATCCGAATTCCAGAGATCCAAATTCTGGACCCTAGCCGGTGTTGCTCGAGGAACTTACTTGGCTCCCTCGAAAGATCGGCTAGGTTTCTTGGAAACAAAGCTTCAGGGGCAAATTCTCTCTCAGTACTCCAGTCGTACTGAATCAGGTGATTGAGCAGTCGTTTCTGACCTTCTGATCCTGCCAAACCTCAAGCCTTCAATCATTTTCTTAACAAAAAGACCCTATAGATCCACGATGTTGTCCATAATTAGCTGAGTGACGCATTCAATTACCGTATTCTTGTTCTAGTATCGAATGGTTACAGTAATTAAAGCATTGCACAATGACTATTAGCAACAGCAATGTGTTCACACTCTTCAATCGCGCGACAATTATCGAGAATGTTCAGCTGCTTGAGAAAGGCGAACTGGCATGGTCCAGGCGTAAGCAGAAAGACCAGTCAATGCAACATTTTCTCCCACAAAATTTGTAAATTTGCAAATCACCGGCGGAAACCCTCTGAACAGTGTTCAGCCACGTTTTCGACGCGCTACGCAGTTAATTCGGCTTAACGCCACGGAGCCCAACGATTGCCCTTTTCGGGTTATAGCTCGCCTCACTTCACGTGCCGGTATTTCTATCACTCCGTGAAAATTTGTGGATGAAATACTCAATGAAAATTCAAATATGGGGTGCGTTAACGTTTTTTGTCGTTCTTCCAGTTGATACATTCGAACGATACAAAAGGACCCTTTATTAGTTGGCCTAGTTATATCGACTGTATGGTTGCTCATTCCAGAGGAATTTTAGATGGCTATCGAGCCGTAGAACAGTACTCCTCTCAAAAGTTTCTCATCTTTGAGCAGGACACTCGGGGCCCACCCACTACGAAAGGTTTAAAAAGGGGGGACAGGGACTTTTCTGGACATCTAATGGTTGGGTGGGTCACCTATATCTACAGGCCACTTGAACCAAGCTGAGGTATAAAAGTCGGTTAATAAGAATGGACCTCAAATATTTTCGGCTTCCAGGCTCTGATGAAGCGACAAAGGTGACTAGCCTGAGCGTTAGCCGAAATATTATAACATCTCGGCCGAAGCTTCAGAGAATAACACCCAAGTCATCGTGAAAGGACTCAGCAATTCCAGAGCTCCTGACCCTGCTTAAGTCTTCAAGAACCTTTGGTGACATAAACCCCATTTGAAAGATCTCTAAAAGGGATTGGTACCCTGTAGCGTGTTCAAAAACACCACAGGTTCTGTCAACAACTATAAACAACACTATTTCGAGGGTATCCCCTGAAAAATGGATTCAGAAAGTACTGAAATCAACTCATCTTTAGGCAACATTGCCAAATCGTTAACACCGATATAGTCCTCTAAAGTGCCTCTCGTACAGCTGCATTTACATAATTCAACGTCGAACGTTGAGCCAAAACCCCGCCCACAACGGAGCTGCCGACCAACCAGAGCTGCGGGATCCGCCTCTTTTCATTACTGTCATGTGGCGATTAGTGGTGCAAATATGATGATGGCCGATTCGCAGCCGGTTCGTTTCTCGATCGAAGAGCTGCTACGCTCTCGGCACAATATTCTCTCGACCGTACTTCCCAAAGAGGAACCGAAGAAAGCCAGCGAGCAGCTCGCTGTGCCAGGACTGGCAGGACTCTCGGTCAGTGCTGCAGGGATCCCAAATGCCGAGCAGTTGCCGTTCTGGCTCAGCTGTGCTGCTGCTTCCTTCCCACTCGAGCAAGGATTGCTCATGGCTCAGAGAACAGGTACGGTTCAAGCTGTCTTTAGTTTAGTGTAGTGGATTTTTCGTGAAGAATCTTTACCCTTTCTGTGATATCTTTCTCATAAACGAACCAAGAACACTGACGAGGCTATCCAGCAATGTGTTTTGAAGTCCCCTCTTACTTTCAATTTCAGTTTTTCCTCAGTTGTGGGCCGCTGCCGCTTCTTCAGATGCCTTACGAATGGCAACCACCAGCAAATCCTACAGAAGGTATTAGTCTTTTTTTTTGACCCTTTCAAAGTATCGTTCCATTGTAACTTCTATTTGCACTGTTTCATATAAACAGCTACGTTTTTGCAAATGTTTTGTTGGCTGACATGAGCGTCGTTGACACAAATACAAGGATTATTCACTCTCCCCATATGATTAAAAATATCAAACTTCAAATTATTCCGTTAACCCCGAGTAAATCCACTGACTGCCAGTTCAAAACAGTGGCTCGTAGCGGTAAGAACGTAAGCTCTAGAGACAAGGGAGTAGCTGCAAAAACGTTGTCGAAAACGAGTAATACTCAGTTTTAATGTCTTGAGAGATGAAAGGCATGGAAAATTTCACACAAAAACTGTTTATCTACAACTTGCTTAGCAATTTTGCATACAAAAATGGAAAGAAAGTCGTAGAATCGTACTGGTCAATCTTTTCATTGTCATGAAATGATCTGTAAATGTTGAATTCGGAAAATCACGATCTCGCTGCAAGGCTTCAAAAAGCTCATGCGAATTATTAGTAGGATAATGTTTCATCCACATAAAAATTCACTCTTAAAAAACTGCATCAAGTTCCGAGTCGTTCCGGCCATGCTTCTGAGATAAATCCCCTGACGAAACTTTGAGACCAGGACTTTTCCATAAGCTGAGATTTTTTGCAGAAAATTTCCTGCATCAATCAAGGAATTGGAAGTTTTGAGTTAATAAATTACAGATGGGCGAAGTTTTAGATGGCTTTAACTTACTATTTACACTATGGAATCATGTTTACTTTTACTGTAATAATTCGAAATTTAGTTGGCCAAAATGAAAGTGTGTTCTTTTCAGTTCCCAATTACCAACTTTTCCATTACTATTGCTCGTTTCCTGATACAGCCTTTCCTTTCGGATATTCGCAGAATTTATTTCGAAACAGTGTTGCTCTTGGAACCTTTACTGCCGCTACTGGTGCTGGATGAGGGGCTTAGGGGGAACGACTTTCACCACCGTAGAATCAACTTTCTCCAGGAAGTTACTAGGGAAACCAGCAATTCCCTTGGAGTTCCCAACCTTCGCTCCTAGTTCATTATTTTTTATTTCATTTTTGCCTCTTCATATAGTAGTTTTGTGTTAGTGTTTCTCCTCCTAACCGTCTATTTTCTCAGTTGTAGACGCAAGGCTCGTACCGTCTTCTCCGATCAACAGCTACAAGGACTGGAAAAGCGATTTGAAACGCAGCGATACCTCAGTACACCGGAGCGGATAGAGCTTGCCAATGCGCTAAACCTCAGTGAAACACAGGTGAGCTAAGTTGCATTCAAGCATTATCTAAAATTCTCATAGAAATTCACGAATACGTTTGCGATGCCCTGTTTTTTTGAACTACTTCAATGGCAACTTCCTTTCGCAACGGCATCATAGAAATGCTACTCCTCATGACATAAAAGAAGGATGTACTGTAACAAGGTACTATTAGGGTGAACAACAGCCTACAGTTGCAAGGGCTTGAGCAGTACACCACTTCCTGGTACGGGATCCAATCTACCAGGCCAGCCTCATCACTCATTCTTCGACCGGTGGGTTAACTGTGACTAGTAGGTAGGCTGTAGACTGTGAGAAGACTGCCTTGTACTTTCGCTGGCCACCGCGATTCATTGTAGAGAAGGGACCTGACCCGTTACCACCCTTGCCCAGTGGCCATCATGACGTGTTCGCCTATCTGGTCTTCGATTTCTTGGCGTACGCAACAGCGTCCCCAATCTTCTTTCGCCGGCAGAGCTCGGAACTCCGGACCACCCTCTGTTGTGACGCGGATCGGTGAAATTCAGGCATTGCTTTTCTGACTGCAGGTTGAATGGCGACCCTGACTGCATGCTCATCCTATTCACTTGGAATCGAGGTTTCCGAGCCGTACTTCAACATAGAATGGACCGCACTATCGAAAAGCTAGATGCTAGGAATTTTCTCTGTCTTCATCACCCTTCTCGATATTCTTGAATGCTCCTCACTAGGCGCGCTTCCTTCTGCTCAGCTCCGGAACTAAATAGGTCGTTCATCATGGTGTCTTCTTTATGGACGTACACGTGCCTAGAGCATTCTGAGATCTTTCTACTGTTGAACCAATAGGAAAATGAGTATTCAGTCCGTTTTTCCCAAACATCTCCTTCGATAGTTATAGTCCGGTAAGCCGATTTCTCCACAAGCGTTTCGAATTCGGCCAGCATTCGTTCCGCCTCCTCGATGTTCTCTGTTATAAGCGCAATGTCGTCTGCAAAGCTGTTAAGTAAATGCCAACCTCGGCTTCTATCACCATTTCCTCGCATTCCAAATAAAGCATGACACTTTCGAGATCACCCTGAAGAGTATGGTCAAGAAGGTAAGGCCCTATCGAGCCACTCTCCTCGCGTTACGACGACTTCCGAGTCGAGGTCGGTCGAGTAGAATGGTGTGATTCTGAATCAGAAGTTGCTGAACAGTTCAAAAGGTATGCCCATACATTAAGAAGGAACACGCTGGTTGTTCCAATTTTCTTCCTGTTCGGTCTCCTTTATGTCGAAGGTCTTCTTCAAACTACACACTCACGTCATATCGGCATTCTGTACTCTCGCGACACTTCATTGAGTCCTGTGACTGTCCGGGCAATATCAATCGCACAGGGACCCCACCCACCTCCCCGAACGCGGCTAGTTCGCACAGCTTCCATTCTCCGATGTTCTGCCAACCCTGGTGTGGCATGCGTACTGAACTTTGTCAGAGCAGCTGAATCCATGGGCATTTACCCTCGGCTCCATTCGAAGCTCTGTAAAATCAAGTCCGCCGCTGTTCAGTTTCAATCGATAGTAGAGAGTCGCTTGGGCACAAACACTACTGTCTTAACAACACTCATATACTCGCCATAGCCGACCTGGACCCTGTGAAACAACAGTACAAGGCGACCAAATGAGACATCCCACGGAACGATATGACGAGCTGTGAAGTGCAGGCTGCGAGCAGATTGTCTGGAGACCACACTCAGTTTATATAATTTTGATTGTACAAATCATCTACAATACTTCAGAAGATTATGTTCATGGCCCTGATAAGCCTTGCTAAGGAACAACCACATTTAAAGCAGTATCGGGGTCCCTCGATCCCGATCGCGTAGTGCAAATGACTTTTACTACGCCATCGCAAAAGAGCTGTACCAGCGGCTAGTTTGCCATTCATCATAGAGATTAATCTGCTAGCGTCAGGGCATTTTTCATAGAGGAACACGGTTTTGAGAGCGAATTAAGTGCTGAAAGGGAACAGGAGCTGGCGAGCAGTTTAGCATTGAAAATGACCGCCGACGGTCTGATTAACCGGCTCGGCTGTATCGTGCTCAATCTAAATGACTAGTTTGCTGTATTTAGAGGAGTAACAATGGCCGGAAAGATTTTGATTATGGAGAAATTAAAAGGGTAGAAGGAAATGGTGGTCTTGCTGATCATTCCATTTTCTGAGAGGACCCTGAGGTCTTGTGCTGACTAATCTTTCTCACATGGCCAGTACCTAGTTCCAAGAGCTTAAAGTAGCCTTCAATAGCCTATACATATTCAGTCTGAGGTTCACACTAGTAGACAACACCTTTTAACCTTAAATTATTCCCACCTCAGTTGTCAGTATGGTGGTTGACAGGTGAAGGTGGTGTAGAGGCAAGTGGCGCACTATCTAACACTCATGGTCAAGGATCTGAATTCCAGATCAATATTTCCTTGGCCAACCAAACCTTTCATCCCTCCGGAGTCGGTTATTTAGTAACAGATTTGTATGGGAGAATAAAAACACTGGCTTGTACATCGGCTAGTCACCCCAAGCCACTGTATAGACCACAGATGCATTCAATACGCCACTACGATTCTGAATGGGAGTCGACGCGGGAGCGCATCCCTCAGACGGGATTCATCAACGCCCGGAGACTTAATCCTTTCCGTCCTTCATGGTGGTTGGCCAGGGGCCTGAAAAAAACTTTTTACCTTCCGTTATCCTACCTTTCACTGCAGTGTTAAATTCCAGGCAAAATATTTTAGGTGAAAACATGGTTTCAAAATCGACGAATGAAACACAAAAAGGTGGTCCGGAAGGATCAGAACGGAGCTGACATACCGGACGAAGATGAAACTGACTGGGCCGATGTCACGGCCTAAATAGCCCGAACGGAGTAACCCCATTCCCGTATGATCATTGAGCATATTCTACCGTCCTTTCCGTCAGCGCTTTGGGAGGGAGTTCAGCCCAAATTAGGCTATCCTCCATAGTACTTTCTTTCACCGGTACTTTCAGTTTATGCGTTTTTACTCTGTTTTTTTTCTTCGTGTACTCCAGTCTATCATTTCACATTTCATTGTCTCCTTTCTAACTGATGGCAGTTGTACAATGGATAGCAGCTTCTCTATGTTATCAGAGGATATTTTGTATAAAGAATTTTATTCATAATGAATGCGATCAGTCAGAACATTTTCAGCGATGTTAAAAAATGTCAATAGGGTTCTCATCGCGAAGCACCTTCAAAAGTTACGAACATACCTCCACTAGCAGCCGAGATGCACTGGCTTCGCCTGGGTGAGACGAAAGGGAAAGTCTTATGCTCAGAGACATTATTTGATGAGCCTTTCAAAAATATTGTTCCCAAAAACAAAATGGTTGTTCCAAAAGTACCAAAATGTCTTTAAGCCTTCAAGAACCGATAACTTTCACCAGATCTCATACCATCGGTTGCCTTTTTCACTAACTTTTGTACTATAGAAGATCGTACTTGTGGAGGAACCACGACTTGGATTCCATTACAACGAACCGATTAAGAATGCCGTAGTTTAGCAGTCGACCAGCATACGTTCTCTGCTAGTCTCATCGTCACATTCGAGGCTTTCCCATCCACTTGCTGTCAAATTTTTTGATTTTTGAAGCTTTCAAAGATTAGAAATCTACATTCACAACGAACATCTAGACGGGATCACTCCGTATGGCAAATGGCGATTGTGGCAAAAGAATGATTCGATGGTTAGTGGTTTTATGATCGAATTTATTGCAGATACAGCGGCTGAAGAATAGCTCTTAGGAGTAAACAACTGGTCTCACAAGGCTGGCGATTGTGGATAAAACTTCGGTCTCTTACGGGACTCGAACCCGCTCCTAAGCTATCCCGGCACTGTGTTCTTATCCGTTGCGCTACCGAAACTCTCCTCGCCACGCCTTCTCGCAAATCTTGTGAGACTTTCGGAACGCATACTGCGGCGTTAAAACAGCAGTTAACAAAACATCAAGTCAAAACAAGCCATA